AGGTGCGCACTTCCACCCGTTAGGACTCAGGTATTTAGGTTTTACTTAAAAATCGGTATGTACATACATGCATATTTAATTAAGCTTAAAATTGTACTTCCTCACTCTTGTACTTCACTTCATTGTCTGACTTCAACTTCGCTGCAAATTGAACAAATCAGAACATGATTTTTATGCGAGACAAATTTCCACAGAAAGTAACGGTAGAAAAAGAATTTTTGGATATTCATTCTCTTTTTCAGCTGACTACGATGCAGCATTCTACTTTGCGTTCCCTGAAATGAAGCAAAGAAGCGAATTAAAAAATAAATGAAACAAAGAAGCGATATAAATAAAATATTGTAGGACATTCTACTTTGAATTACCGGCAATGCGTAAAATAAGCGAAAAAACACGTTACCACTAAAAGCGATTACCGATTTTTTGTTGGGCATATACACATATAAATTTGGTTTTTTATAAAAAAAAGCGAAAGTGTCAAGTAACGAGCGCAAAGGTGGCAAGCCTAGCAAATTGACCGATAGTCGGAAAAATTGCAAGCAGCTAATTGGCATTTCAACAGGTTTGTTGCTAATCAGATAGTTTTCAATAATTATCACTAGTTTTTGTTACAGAGCAAGTGTTTTGCGACTTAAAAAGAGCAATCCGAAAAGAGAAAAAAATTAAAAAAGCGAAGCAATTAGTCTATTTTAGTAAGATTCTTTACATCGCTATTTAACTCTTTCTAAGCATATTGCTCCAAAAAATTTACCATTCTTCCATTTGCTGATATTTGCTGGAAAAATAATAAATAAAATAGACTGATGCTTTGTATTTTTACCTTTTAAAATTCAGGTAAATAATTTGTCAGATTAAAAATAATTAAGTTAAACGTTCCTTCACAGTCAACTACCGAACTGAAGAAGTAACGAAATCGGTGTGAATAGCCCTAATAGCTGTAAAAGGCCAAATGAAACAATTAAAGCTTTAACTTGACGGCCACTTACTGATCCCCCAAGCTGGACCAATGTCTTAACTAACCTTTTTGCGGCCCAATTTGCTTTTGCTGTCCTTTGACATCGGCAAAACTAGTGAAAAGGGTGTCCAGATTGTTAAAAAAATGCGCGATTTCTGAAAAATATCGCCAAAAATCGCCCAATTTTTTTTTAAATAAAATTCATGAAATCGACTTAACAAATCTTTTATTCTAAAAATTACATCTGTTTGTAACACAGTTATTCAGGGTAATAATAAATAACAAAAATTACTTACATACATATATAATAGTGATGTACTTTTTTTTTTTTTTAATACGCATACTTTTAAAAAATATTTGTATTAACACATTTCCCGCTATTAATAAATTTATTATAACTCATATTAATCGAATAATCAAACAATCCCTTTTTAAGCACTCGGCGCTAAAAATAAAAAAAAGCTATAAGGCGAGATCAGCTATTTCCACAAATGAAAGATTTTTAAATTTCCATATATGCACTTTTAGCGGGAGTTGTCACAAATGGTCGTTTAATATAGGCAAATGTTCGATATGCTACAATAAAATCGATAACAATAAAAAGTATTGCTACATCAAAACTAAAGCTCTAACTCCACAACCTACTTTTTCACGTGTTTCGACGAATTTACTACTGCCTGCTGATGGCGCCACAACAACACCTACACAACGCGGCTCAGATGCTCTCCATAAAGGAGCATAATACTATACACATCCTAGTAGGATGCCACAGAAGCAGGCATCCGAATATACACCTACTTTTAGCAGAGCCCTCGCCAAAGCACTACAGGAGGCATATATACGGCGTCGAGGAGTCGGTCTCGACCTACCTGATCATTGCGACATTCAGGGAAACTGCAAGGCTGACGCGCGCCATGGAATGGCATTGCATGATACAGACATAAGAGATACTCTCGGCATCCCTTTTCAAACATGCAAATATCTACTGAATGCAAATTTCATAGAAGCTGCCAATGAAAGATGGCGAATAAAAGCGACCTGTCACATTGCCAAAACACTCTGGCCTGCCACGAACGCCCAACGCACCAAGTCTCTACTTAATCTAAGGAGGCAGGACATTCGCAAAGTGACTGGAGTTTTCACCGGACATTGTCTGATCGGATTACACGCATGGATGAAGACGAAGAGGAAACCACCCCACATCTCCTCTGCTATTGCCCGGTTCTGTCAAAACGGAGGGCAAAAGCTCTTGGAAGCTATTTATTCGACGATCTCGATGACCTCAAAGCGGTCCTATGCGAAGCCTATGCACTTTTTTGCTAAGCACCAAGTGCTTTACAGGGGAACGGGGATAATTAAAAAAATCCTCATGCCGCCCAACCTAACCTAACCTACATCGACTTCAGACCTGTGGATGCCGTTTTGTGTATACAATCACCTGACGTGTACGCGACAGACTTTTGTCTGCCTCGGGAGACTCGCACCACAATAGCCCAACTTCGCTCTGGATACTGCGGCAGGCTAAACTCGTACCTGAGCAGAGTGAACGCAGATGTGCCCAACTAGTTTCCGCCATGCGGAGCGACGCCTTATGACACACGATACATATTTGCAGAGAATTACTGTCTCTTCCGTGGTTTTAAAACTTGGTCTCAAACATGAAGAGTCTGTTCCGCAGTAAAGAATTTTAGTGAAATGTAAACGTTAAACGAGAAACTAGAGCTTTTTTTGGAGAAAATTTATCGCGCTAAAAGTAGACTACGTTGATAAAAAAAATAAAATTTCTGATAAATAGTATATTAGTTGTTGAGATTAGCGCGGATACTTTCCAAAACATGCGGAAAAAATGCTTTGTAGCTTTGGTACGCATTGCACGCAAAGGTTCTTACCAAAGCACCCAAAATTAGAAAGTGTGTTGAAACGATAAGGACAATGAGAACTAGCTGTATGCCGCAGAGAACTGGGCTTATAAAAAGTAAGAACGATCGAATATAGTACTCGGAACAAATATATGTGTACATTCTTTGGCTATTTCCCTTTCGTTTATTTAAGTTTTTATGAAAGTTGTGTTGCTTATTTTTCCCATACAAACAAAATGAATCAGTGAGTTCGACAACCGCACAAGTTCAAAGTCTGCGTTTCGAGATAATTAATTAAAACTTTTTAACGCTGAAACTACTTGGATAGAGGCAATGTATTTTTAATGGTCGTTTTACTGAAAATAAAAAGGAATTCCAATAACAGATAAAAAGGTGGGATGGACTTGTAAGGTTTTTGTAGGTAGAGTATTCAAAAGATGTCGCAAGCGTCGCAGTGTCATACAGTCGTACAAATTTTTCAATGTAAAATAACGATTAAAATTCTTATAGGGAATGTGTAATTACCCAAAATGTTGCTACACCGATAGAAAATATATAAATAACTATTTCTTAAACTGTGGATTCGTGGAATCCCCTTAAATCATTTCAACAGTTATTTTACATTGAAAAATTTTACGACGCTTATGACAACGTGTGAATACCCTAAATATTTATTCAAAACGGGGGAAAAATACAACATCAGAACTGTTCTAAATCCTATTTTTCAGCATTTGTGATTTTTCATGTATGTAGGTGAGGTGGTAATAGAATTCCAATACTTCACCAGATTTCTTTCATACATGAACTGCGTATAATTTGACACAAAAAACGTTTGGTTCTTGGAACCGGCACCTCGAGTGATACACGCTTTTTATAGTAATCAGGCCACCAATTTCTAAAATCAGTAACATCAGTTTATCGGATTAGCTTCAAGTGCTGAACACATTTAAAACGACGAGCTACGGGCCAAAGCTTCCAATTTGTTATCTTCATTATATAAACGCTTTGTCGATGAATTTGTATAAGTTTGAAGTAAAAGATGAGGAAGATCGTTATCTGGCGCTGGATCTAATCTGGCCACAACCACGTGCCTTGTCGTCCCCAAAATAATTATCTACATAAGAATACGTGGGAAAACAATTTGACAGCTGTGGTCCGTAGCTCATTGTGTTCCTGGAAGTCAATATTAAGTGCTTATATTCTTCTGGAGTATAAATTCGATTATGATTTCAGAAATTTTGTTTTACCAAAACCAAAATCCCGGTCATAGGGCAAACGACTGGCCTCTCATTGAAGAATAACTGCCATCTCTAAATTGGCGCGTCAAGCGTCAAGGAACTGTCAAAAATCCTCATGACCATACAATTTGTATGAAGCATACCACAATAACGCAGCGCTAGCGCCGAGCAAATGGAATTTTCGTTTTTGACAGGGCTTACGTGTTGAAGTTGTATGCAGAAGACGGAAAGAAAGGGAGAGGACAAAAAAATGAAAGAGGAAACAAGAATAAAAACGAGGGGAAATGAGAAAACTTAAAAAATTGACGCGCGTTGATTTGGGGATAGCGCGCGCTGACACTCGTTGACAATACAAAACGCAACGCTTACCGCTCTAAATTAGGTACGGCAGTAATATAGATTTTGTTGAATCTCTTGGTAGCCTCTAATGCTAAGGGGAAACGCCGCTTGCTTGGTTGCTTCTCTTACATGTTTATATAGTAGCACTATTTAGTTGGTGAGATTAACCTTAGGAGGTTCATTTGCATATAAACGCGTAGCTTTTTTGTTTTGCTTGTTAGAGGCGAATCCGTCCATGATTTCCTAGAAGCGGCTACGGTGAACACATTGAGCTAAAAATCTGACCGCTTTTGTGTTTGTGTTCGGTTTTATTTGTGTTTGTAAACTAAATGACTCAAACGGACCGAGCAGGTCTGTCTATGTGTGGGATGATTGCTGGAGCAGGCGATTTAAAAATATTTTGAACACGGACATAACAGTTATATATTTTATAGTAAAAACCTTGCTCCATAACAATTATTAGATAAGAATCATTTTTTGTTTCGAAGAAGTTATAACCCATCGTTTATTTTGGATGGAGATGCCGAGGAAATCAATGCTTTCGAAGGCGACGACGCCATGGATCCGGATTATTTATTGACGTTAGAAAATGCGGCTCCCGATGCTTAGACAGAGACCGTTATAGAAACCGAGTCTCCATATGACGATGATGAGGAGTTCGAAGATCTGCGTGAAGGCACTGCAGCTGCCACCGAAGCCGTTGATATGAACGAGGAGCTGTGTTCGGCGAGCTCGATTATAAAACACCGTTTAAAGGATGGCAAGCTTGCCCAGAAAATAATTGATGCACAATTTTTGTCGTGCCGAAAACGCACGCGCTTCACCCAGTATATTCCATAGAAACCAGCAAAATGCGAAATTAAGCTAATACCCACTGAAAAGAATAATATATATTGAAACAGACAAATGAAACGCGTGCGGTAAATCAAGGCGAGAACGTTGTTTTAAAATTGGTCGAAAAGTACACCGGTTCTGGATGAACAATATATGCCGATGATTTGTTCTCGTCATGCGCAAAAAGGAAGCCTGCATATTGAAGGAGAAGTTGGATCCAATATGAGATGTATTCAGCACAGTATTCGGTTACCACAATAATAATATCGGCCCATGCTCATACGTGCCGAAAAACAAAAAAGTTGTGGTCCTCATCTCAACCAAACATTACAATTCCGCCGTCGACTCATCGAAGCCATCGAAGAAGCCATTTCAAAATGTGGACTACAATGTATACATATACAATCGGAGTAGACACCATGGATCAGATGGTTAGAGGTTACACGTGCAAACGGGCCACAAACCGGTGGCCGTTAGCTCTGTTCTATAGCATGCTGGACGTGGCGGACTTGGTTGCATTTTCGTTGAAGAGTTGTCAAGAGTTCCTCACATGGAGCAGAGAGCAGCGAATCGCATTGTACGGAAATCATTTAATTTATGCATTCAAATTCTAAAAATTAATTTTTCACCCGCTGTGTTCGCGACAGCAAAGATGTTAGTCTACTGGGCTGACAAATTATTTCACATAAGTTTTGAGCACAAATCCTCTCAATCCATTTTGCCAGATTCACAGTTTTTTAAACTACCTCCTAGTACGAATTACAAATTTTTCGAAATTTCCAATTTGAACGAATAAATTAAAATTTCTCTTTCGGTTTGTTTTTATAAGTAAATTCTTAAGATAAAAGGGTACGATGAAGACGCAGTGTTTCCTTATTTAAAACGAATGGTTTCAGCTGTCCTTTGCGTTCCAGTCGCCATAGTAAATATCTAAAATAATATTTTTCCAAATCAGTTTAAATAAAACAAGAAATAAACTAGAGGTCCTAATTTGTGTTCCAGTTTATAAAGCCTTGTTTTGTTTAACTAAGTGTAATTTAAACTGTCGGAAGTTATTTTATGTTAAATTAAACGTGTTTTGTTATGCTCATAGTATATTAATACAAACATGCGAAAGGGTTTATAATTGAGTAGTCCACTTGCAAACAGCGTTATGTGATTTTATAAGAGTAAGGGCGCGTTCACACAGAAAGTCGAGCGGCGCCGAGCGAAGCAAGGCGGAACAAAGCGAAGCTGCTGGTGTTCACACTGAACGAAGCGAAGCGGAGCTTTTCTCATACACTCGGCTGCAAAGGTAACGGAAAACTCACCGTCAATTAAAAGTGGCAAAAATATTTGCTCCATTTTACTTAAAAGATTAGTTATGAAATTCGTGTTTATTTTTATATTTTGCTATTTTGTTTGCAGCAGCGTCATGAAGCTGCAAAATTAAATAAAAAATTCAAAACTAAAAACTGATTTGCTTTCAGCTCCAAAACACTTTCATATAGCTCCAGCAATTTGAAAGCTTTACTCAGCTCGGTACGGCTTCGCTTGGCTCGGCTCCGCTTTTTGTGTGAACGTTCCCTAAATTAAAAAAAACGACTACGACAACAAGTAACATTTAAATTGAATCTTTTTTATTACCTGAAAATTTGGATAAACAAGAGCCTAATAACATTATAACATAACACAACATAACATTACAAAATATTAGCAGTCTATACAACCTAAAGCAGTTTTCTAAGTTCATCCAAAGGTGGAGACTTTTGAAAGTTTACAAATAAGTATGATTGCGACTTTTGCAAGAGTAGTTAACATTTGATGCTATTTTTCAGAATATTGAAAGATTTTGCACTGGGTTGTTAGTGGACATGAAACTGCTTTAAATACTGGTACGTTACCCACCAAAAACTAAAAACCGAAAAAATTAGATAGCGCACTTTGCAAGTGGACTACTCATTTCAAAACGAGCATTTTCTATCCCGTATGACCTGCGATTTATTGGTATGTGACAAAGAAAAATTTTCGTAACGTCTGCTCTATTAATTGAGAGCAGTCTTGCCAGATTTTTTTTCAAAAAAACTGTTAATTTCCGGAAAAAAATCTGGCAACACTGCTCTTAATTAATAGAGCTACAATCTGCTCTTTACTTTTTCTTGGTCACATAAAAATAAAGCGCAGGTCACACGAGATACAAAATGTTCGTTTTGATATATAAATGCATCATGGTACTGGTACACGGCTTAAGCCACTACAGCTAGGGTGACCGTCTTGTAACCAACTCTCTGCTCTGGTTGTCAGTTTCTTCAGGTTTGAGTTATGCGTTAACTGATCAGTGATCAAATGCACATTGTATCGAAGTAGGTGGTATCGAAATAAACCCGATTGGACCAGCGCCGGTACTTGTGAAGGAAATCATCTTTTTTTTTTTATTAGTAAGTGTTGGAGATTTTCACTGTTTCAATTTCGAGACAAAAATGCCGTAACTAACAAAACAAAAAAGAACAAAATTCTTTTATTGGTTGACTATGATGCATTTACAAGTCTCCTACAACGTTTTATACCAACAATTTTTTTGTTGGTTACGACTTTTTGCTGCCCTCTGAGATTTTTTTTTTTTTGATTGGATGCGTTGAACATGAGTTATGTGTATGTTCGGTGTTAAGCTCTAAAATTTCATCAGCGGTTTTATTAATTAACGATATTAGCTAAGCACCTAGACCTGCTCCATTTTTCCAGCACACCAATTTATATCTCACAGGTAGGAGTAATTTGGGGATTATCTCGAATGTACATATGTATGTACATACTTCTGTGAAAATATGGGTACAAACTTTGAAAAAAAAATTCAATATTTAGGATTTAAAATTTTTTGCTGAGTGTTCGCATAAAAAGCTTACCATATTTTGAACAAGTCGTCGCATATGGATCACCCTATGGGTGTTAATGTATGAAGCTGCAGTTATATATTTACATTCATACATAGATACCTACGTATACATTTTTACATTCACTTGAATATTCAAACCACCACCAATTCCGTGCTCTCCTCGTCTACAACAACCCAACATCAACTCCATATTTGTCGGAGTCAATACGACAAAGCGGAGAATAATGATAGCATATTGTTGGTATCTGTGAACACAACCGCAGCATCGCCGTCAGTCGTCCCCATCGTTATATAGCCTTTTTTTGCTCCATCATAGCCATGCACGCTCTTGATGCGCATTCGCTCGTTTAAGCTTTCGGCAATTCGTCGGTCTGTTTGTTAGTCGCCAAAGTTGGTTGTTATGTATCGTTTAACTGTTATTTTAGTTAGACAGGCGGGTGGTCGCTTGGTCGTATAGTCGTTTGATTACATGGACGCCCGTCGGTTGCCTTCGTGTCGACAGCATTAAAAGCGAATTCCTCTCCTTTGCCGTACGAGTATTAGCTGGAATAATACCAACCCCAGAAGCAATTCCAACAACAGCAACAGTCATGAGTAGGAGCAATAGCAATATTCATTGGCATATCATAAATCGTAATCATGTTTCATTCAAGTAGCGTTTACGATTTATCGAATTACGCGCATTATTACTATTACAACAGCGGCAGCTATTAGCAGCTTTGCTAACCGCTATGAGCACTCAATCGAATGATTACAAATTGAGCACTCAGTTTTTGCCTCGACCCCATCACCGTGTTTTACAGTGGGGTAATATTGATAAAAAACGTGAATTTGTTTAGAATTAGTTTTCTTGCAGGTCTAGTATTTCTTAAATATGAGGATATGGAAACCAAAGTAGCCTATTTAAACACAAAAACATTAAACACTACTAGAAAATACACCCCGTGCCAAAAAAAACGCATCAGTGTTGTAAATAATGTGTTTTAGCGCAGAGGTTAAGGGGCGAATCTTAGCTTTCAGTGACCAAAAATTTGTCTATTAGGCAAACTGCTCAGAAATTCGGTTGAAAATTCAAATTCGCAGGGTCTTCAAAAAGGAAGAAAGAAAGTGAAATGAATGAAGGTCGATAAACTCACTAAGTGCGAGGATTGGATTTTGGAACAGCTGTGTTTGCAGGACAGATTCCAAAATGCGAGGGAATAAGATAAATAAGTACTCGCACTGTAGCACGACGCCTTAACCAGTTGACTTGACTGGCCGTTTATTCGGTTTACTTCTTACCACATCTCTCCCGTAATAGAACAGAAGCAAATATCTAACTAGTAGTTGCTTGATTTTGTTGCACTTTCTATTTTCGGATTCTTGAAGAAACAGTCTTTTAGACACTTCCGTCCATTCGTTTCTATACTGTTTCTTCCAGCCATAAAGCAAAATATATGGAAAAAACAAAAGCTAGCTATACAAAACCTTAATTTTCTCCACTTTACAAAAACACAGTTACTTGGTTCCGTTCCATCACAGGAGATCTCTGCCATCGGGCCCAATCAAATTAAACTTTGATTCACCGTTTTCGAGGCAGTTCGAACACAGTTTAATTAGCTTCGAGAGAAAAATCTTATAGGGCACAAACGTATATCGATTTCCGCCAGTTATTCGCACAATGTGTGAATAGGTCCTTATGTATTTGTTCTTTTCATTATGTTCGTGGGCACCGTAGTTTGTTAAAGTTTCGTTTTATAAGCGCTTAAAAATCTTTTTAGCAGAGTATCATGATTCCATACTAGTCGGCTTCGCCAACAGGCCCATAGAAGCTTTCTCTACGTTTTTGGGTTATACAAAAGGGGCCCCTGCTTACATTAATAATTTTAACACATTGAAGCAATAATTTGTAGAGCCCAAGGGAGGCTGAGACTTTTTCTGAAGCCGAAAAACATTTGGCCGATTACCGAAGCCGTTGACCATTTTAAAATAGATTCTCGGCAGCCAGTTCGAAAACACCCTATCTCAGAATTGGGGTAAAGAACGCCCTATTTTAGAATTTGATTGAAAAACGCCCTATCTCAGAATTTGGTTGGAGAACGCGTCATTTTAGATTTTTATTAAAAAACGCCCTATCTCAGAACTCGGTTCAAAA